ATGGTATGCATGGTACTGCCAAAATCAGAGCCAATAAACAAATTTTCAACGAATCAATTCTCTTTGGTCTATCAGTTGCCGTTGAAACTCAGAAAAATACCGGTATGATTGGGCAGTGCCATCGTTGTCAGCTTATGGCTACGCCCAAAGTTACTGCACTGCTAAACCAAGATGCGTAAAGTGTGCTCATGAACATTTCACTCACCTATATCCAAAAAGAAAAGCAGATTCTAAAAGATGTGCCAACTGTGGAGGAGATCACCCTGCAAACGGCACAGTTTGTAAACTTGTTCCTAAAAGGATCATAAAGATTCTGCAAGAGAAAAAGGAGAAGTTTTTCCAAAGGAATCTGTCATATGCCAACGTAGCGGCGTCTTCATCAGTAGTTGAACAAAAAAAGAAGGCAGCACAAACATTACAAAAACTCCTCACATTCGCTTCTTACTGTAAATGAATAATAGTCATAAGAGACAACCTGAATTCCTTAACATTCTTTCTTGGAACGCAGCTGGCATGAAAGAAATCTACAAAAAACACGAATTAGGAGTCACACTGATTGAGTTAAATATAGACATTGCACTCTTACAAGAGATCCAGGCGATAATTTTAAAATTCCAAATTTTTATGTGATTCGCTGTGATCGACTAACTGGTAGAGCAGTGGGTACTGCTGTATTGATAAAAAGAAATATTGACTACTACAGAAGTTCAAATCCAGAAATGGAATCCATTGAAGTGTCTTCTGTAGTGGTTAATATGAGAGATGTTTCTATATTCAAAATTTCTTCTATTTATGTTAGAAGTGGTCCACATATTCAAGAAAGTGACATTGATTCTTTTTTAGATTATACAGGTCCAATCTTAGCTGTTGGTGATTATAACTGTAAACACCAAACTTGGAATTCTCGTGTAAATAATGCTGGTGGGGTAAAACTCTACAACTTATCTTTGATTCGAGACTTCCTCATACATAATACGTCGGAACCTACTCACTACCCTTATAATCATGAATTTCTGTCAGACATTATCAATTTTGCAATATCCAGCAACTGCACTTATAACATTGAAACAAATATATCACATGATCTTCAGAGTGATCACCTGCCTTTAATTCTTGAAGTAGGGACAAAAAATGATTAAAATGAGGACGCTCTGAATGAATGATGAATCTTGAATTTTTAGAGGCATCCCGGCCACCATAAGGAGCCAGTGCATAGGCCGCTTAAGCAGGCCCTTATGCACCTCTACAATACTTAAATCACAAGCCTCGCCCTTTTAGCGAAGTTGAGAATCGCCTTGAGTCCAAGCTCCTTTACGTCCTGAGGGTCCAAAGTAATGGACCCCAGTATAGTCTGCCTATAGTAGCTCAGAGCTTCACAGCGACACAAAACGTGCGCCGAGGTCTCTTCCTCTACTCCGCAGCGTTCGCACAAGGGATCCTCAGCCACCCCCATCACGTGCAGGTGCCGCCTTAACGTGTTATGGCCAGACAACAGTCCCACCAGCAACCTTAGGTTGGCTCTACCCAGAGATAGGCAGAAGCGTCCATCCTTAGCACTGGGCCCTTCAATGAGCTCTCGTGCCTGGCGGAGATGTCTAGAGATACTTCTCCATTTCTGAGAGTGTTGTCTTGCAACCCACGTCTCCATTTTCCTCCTAGCTTTATGCGCGGTTACTCCTAGAGCTGGCTCAGGACCAACGAGCTTGCTGGCTGATCCTGTTTTCGCCAGAGTGTCCGCCGTCTCATTGCCCCTTATCCCAGCGTGCCCCGGTACCCATATTAACGATACCGGATGCCTCGCTGCGAGGCAATCCAGAGCCTCCTGCATTGCAATACAAGACTCGAAGTAATCTTACATGCACTTAGTGCTTTCATTGCAGCCTGGCTGTCGGATAAGATTGTTATTCTTCTCCTATGCCCACCCTCCTCCAGAATGTGAGATACACAAGCCAGAATCGCAAAGATTTCCGCCTGGAAAATGGTGGTGTACTCACCGAGAGGCAGAGATAGCCTAGTTCTAGGTCCAGAGACCCCAGCACCTGAGCCCTCTTCGGTGACCGAGCTGTCCTGTACCAGACCTGCCCGCTCACTTCGGAGAGTCCTCGGCTACCGGCGTCCCACTCCTCCCTCGTTGGGTACTCCACAATAAACTTGCGGTTGAAGCGATATTTAGGGGTAATACGATCACCCCTGCTTAGAAGGACGGGGTCCTCCCTTTCTGAGGACGCTCTAGTAGATTGGGAACAATTCAAAATACATATATCCAATTTTCCTGCAAGTCCAATCATAGCATCCGTTACCGATATGGATTCGTCACTTGTTCATTGGACAAGTTCGGCACAATCTGCAATTCAAGAAGCCACTATTACGACCAATAAACAATTTAGACCACATGGGAGGCATGTTACAGTCTGGCCTGTCGCTCTGGAGAGTTTCTAAATCACTTAGGCACGGCACAAAACAAAAGCTTCCTCCTATAAACGGTCCAAATGGTCTTGTTTATACAAATCAAGAAAACGCTGAAATCTTTGCGGAATCAATGGCAAATCAATTTTCACTAAATGAAGATCTTGATCCTACAAATACTATCGGTATTGAAGAATCCATTCAAAATTACTTTAGTCAGGTCCAGAGAGACAGTCAAACCCCAGTCCAAATACCTCCCTGTACTTTGGACGAGATGATAGGATATATCAAAGACACCGAATTAAGAAAAGCTCCTGGAGACGATTATATTACAGTGCAGGCCTTAACACTTTTACAGACTGGAGCTTTAGAATACCTGTTAAGTATTGTCGATGCAATTCTCAGACTACAATACTTCCCAGATCAGTGGAAAGTATTCCTAAGAAAAATAATTCCATCTCTCCTCAAGACTTCAGACCTATTAGCCTCCTGTCTATAGTAAGCAAAATTATTGAAAAAGTGATATCAGTGCGGTTACAAGATTTTCTTTTGGAAAAACAGGTACTACCTGACCAACAATTGGGTTCCGCAAAGAGCACAGTACAGAACTTCAGGCAGTAAGGCTGATAGAAAAGATTACTAGTGGGTTTGTCAATAATCAGAACTCAGGTATTGTACTGCTGGATATTGCCAAAGCATTCGATAAGGTCTGGCATCAGGGATTAATTTATAAGCTAATTGAATTTCAATGTCCATTTTGGTTAGTGAAACTGGTGAAGTCTTTTCTTGAGGGCAGGAAATTCAGAATTAAAATAGAAACATCACTTTCCTCTTTAAGAAGTATCCAAGCAGGTGTTCCACAAGGCTCTGTTCTGGCTCCGACACTACACATTATACGTATATACACTGCAGATATTCCTCACATACCTCACACAGACATACTTACTGTATGCAGATGACATAGCACTAATAACTAGGTCTGTCTCCAATCAAGAAATTGGAGACCGACTGCAAGGGGCTGTAGAGTAGCTTCAGAATTGGTGTTTCCATTGGAGAATTAGATTGAACGCTGAGAAAACCCAGGCAATTTTAGTCACTAAAAGACGACAATCATTACCATCCGAAATAATTATGTGTAACCAAAGAATTCCGTGGGCATATCAAGCAAAATATTTAGGACTAACAATCGACGCATGTCTAACTTGGAAATCTCATGTAGAATCGATTAGAACAAAGGCTATAATTACTTACATTTCGTAATTTATACCTCATGCTCAAGGGTACTATAAAACTAAGCTTAACTAGTATAATACAAATGGATTATACGTCCAACTATCACCTACGCATGTGCAGCTTGGTGCTTTGCTGCCAAGACCCACATTACAAAATTGCAACTGATACAAAACAAAAGGTTCTACGAACATTACTGCATGCTCCTTGGTATGTATCTAACGCGACCATCCATCATGACCTGGATATTCCTTTCTTGTCTCAATTCATTAAACAAAATGCAAGCAAATACTACGAACGTACAACTTCACATTCAATCCTTTAATAAGAGATGCGGTGACATACGATCCTACATCCATTCACAAACACAAAAGACCTAGATTAGCACTTCTTTAACAATCTGAACATCTAAATCTATGATTTATTCTTTATTTCTTTACATTGACTACTTTTTTCATATAATTTTCATAATTGTATAATCTATCTTTGGCATTTTTTGTTAAAGAGATTCTCTTTTCTGCCAGTTAGAACCTCAGTAATTTTTGCCTACCCTGATGAGCAGAAGAAGTCAAGTCAAGTCAAGTCACAACATTCGACACCCCATAATTGGTAGGTGTGTCTCCTACACGATAGGATGAACTTTCTAGTCTCGGACGTTCGACGCTTGGTGGCACCAACGTCTATTATCGGTGTTAGTATCGCGCTTGAAGCTTTACAACTGAAGTAAAAATTATACAAAATGAACGATGAAACAATTTTTTCGAGCGCCGTTAAATAATTTCAGATCTGTCTTCAGCGGCCAAAACTTAAGTCTGACAGAAGCCTCAGAAATGTCGAAAAACGAAGTTTGACCGTTTTTTGTTTGCTTTTCGACGATAACTTCGCCGCCACTGTACTAATTGCAGAGCTTTTTCGTCATTTTCATAGTAGTAACCTAGGGTCATTTCATCAAAATCCTGGTAGTACTTTCAGAGTTATCATTTATTTAGTCGTTTTCGTTAGTTATGAAATGCAAGTCAATATATTTCTCAACTGTCTTGCATTGCAACAAGACATTATAATGAAACAACTGTAAGCACTTGATAATTTATAATTTACTAAAATACATATCCTTAGGCCAGCCATTAACTCACCTGCGAAACATACAAAATATTAGCAGTATGAAACAAATGTTGTTATGACAGCCTATTTTTTGTATGTATATATATGTAACGTCCTTTGACGCAGATCAAATTTACCGACAAGAGCCCGAACGTGCCATGTGGCGAACGTTGGACACATGGAATAAGTCAGCGCTCTCCCACAGGATGTAGCTAATGGCCATGTGTCCAACGTTGTAAGGTATTCGCCACATTGTGTGGGACCGCTTTAACACAAACGAGGCACTGGAAAGCACCTCTTGATATCATCTGTCATTTCATTTGTCAGTGTGTTGTGTTGTCATCTGCCTCCACATTTTCAATACGGATTTTTGAAAAAAGATTAAATGGTGAATAGACAATAGTCTCCATTGTTAACTAATAATCTTCTTCAAAATGCTGTCTTTGACGCACAGCCTTCGAAGCCTTGCCATAGCCGGTGAAGCAATACCAAGTAATTACAAATACCAAGCAGTACGATGGAGGAAACCCCGCTGGGTCCCAAAGGCGAAAAGCAAAATTTTCAAAGTACCTGAAAGACCAGTCATACCAGAGGAAGAAAAATTGGAACTCATGAGATTATACAATAACTACAGAACCAAAGTAAAATCACTACGAAGTTACTTAGTTGCCAAACATTGTACGAAATTTCAAGCAAGTGAGGATCCTGAGGAACAGAGGAGATTGTTTGAGGAAGACTTGCAACATTGTATAAAGGTATATACAATAAATAGTTCATCAGAGAAGGTTTCTTGATTTTGTCATGGTACATTCTTTTAGATTGTGCAAAAATGTACTTCACATATTCATTTTAGATGAACAATGAGTGGAATGAAAAGCAAAGGATATTCAGAGAACAAGCTATGACTGAAGAATTAGAAGCAAACTTATCATATGCAAGAAAAAGATTAGAAGATGAATTAATCAAACAGGAAGAAAAGATTAAAGCAATTGAAGAAATCGTACAAAAGCAAAAAGAAGCTGCTAAGAACTTCATTCTACCTGAAAATATAGATGAGGCTATTGATAAGGCTTTGGAAAATCCTGTAGATTATAACTTTGCAATAACATTGAATGGGGAGAAAATTATTGGATATTATAATCATAAAGTTGGAGATAAAAATGAAAATGTAGTTAAGCAGTAAAATTGTTTGATAATGTAGTATCATTAAATGATTTTATCAAATTAAGTGTTGTTTCATTTACAATTTTAGAAGACTGTAGGGTTCAATTTTGAACCATTTTTAAGGAAATATTTTTGAAGCATGATTCACAATATTTTTTTATATGTATTATTATATTAAAATAAAAATGTATTACAAATACCAATGTACTTAAGAAAATAATGATTCAACAAATGTCATTCTATTCTTGGAACTTTCACTAGTTTCACTCTCTATATTACTATCATCTCCTTTCCCAACATCCTCATATTCTTTATTAACAACTTGTTTGTGTTTTCTCTTCTTATCCAAATTGGCATTGAAAAAGTCACTTTTCTTCTTAGCCAGTTGAACTTCTACTCTGATCTTCTGCCTTCTAGCAGCCTTCTCATATGCAAGCCTTTCATGTAGGTGTGTCCATTTGAAGTTTGAGAGATATTTTATGTTCCAAATGTAGTCATACTGCTTTGATTTCTTCCTGTTGTCTACTTGAGCGTTATTCAGCAGTTTGGTCACTCGTTTTGCTACTGATTTTCTTTCGAATTCGACCCATCCTTCCGTGAACTTTTTTGCTAAGTGCTTCTTGCTTGGTTTTCCTTTATCTGAAAAAAAAACATGTAAAATGGATGTAGAATTGTTACTATTTTGTGTACGTACTTTTGTCCATTAGCTGTAGATATACTCGCCCGACTGTTCCGAATTCGCTAAAATATTCTCTAATTTTTGTCACATTCATGTATGGTGGAATTGCGGAAAGGTAAATAATACCACGTTTTGGTGGTTTCTTTGGAGGGTCTGAAGTTTCCTCAGCTTCATTACTGCAATTGCTGAGTGTTTCTACTTCTCGTAATGTTACCATGTCTCAAAATTTCGTTTTGCATAAACACAAAAACGTCAAAACATATTGACATTTCTATAATCAAATTCAAGCGGATAACCAAATGGAAATGGTATTTACCATTTTGGGTTGGTATTTACCGATCCGTTCAAGCGAGTGTAGTTATCAGTTTGGTTATAAGATCCGTGACGTCACGAATCAGCTGTTATGTGTCATAGTTATCACCGCAAAATTGTGGTATTTACCCAACTCAAGAGTAGTTTTATATTTCTGGTTATTATTTGAAATGTGACAAGTTAGAATTTTGCCGGGTATTGTTATTGCACTTCAGCTTCATTTTTGAGAAAAATGATACAGGCTGACTTCAGTTTTACCATAAAGTGGAGCACCTTATTAGTTATACTCATTACGGTTGTTGGGGACACTTTAAATGTAGTTCCTATGCTTAACAAAGTATCCTGTGTAGCCATATACCACAAGAATATTAAATTATGGCCATATAAAGTCACTAGATGATATCCACCTGTATACGGTTTTGCTAATTTCTTTTTTCCTCATTTCTGCTGAATCAATAAATGTTTTCTTTGACATGCGGAAAAATTTAGAGAATTGAAAGTTATCGTAGCTACAAAGCCATGGTTCCATCATTAAAAAAAAATCTGAAAGAAACATTTCTCCCATGAATATTATGAAAGGTTTCTTATTTAAACCTTCCATACACAGTTGTAGACGAAAAAGCCCCGATTATTAAGTGATAATAAAAATAATCAGAGAGATATACGCGCTTTTCTAAAATAAACAACTTGCAACAAAACCGCGGTTAAAACCAACGCGTTCAAGCGATTCGTGTAACTGACGTCATCAACCCGTGTGTCATCTTGAACCATATTATAACCGCGGCACATAACACAGAAATTTTGGTTATTCGCTTGGATTTGATTTATGTCAGCAACCTGAACGTCGTCGTTCATAGCTGTATTTGCACTACCTTTTTAAAATAGTTTATAAAATCTATAACGTAGTGTAATACGCTGTTTGGCAACCATCACATTTCTTTTATGTATCACTTTTGTAAAAGTAATTTATAAAAGAGCTTTGTCAAATAACTTTTATAGTGTAATGCCGGCCTTAGGTAAATTGTTTTGTGGTCAGCCAACACGTGCTAGAAGTTAGAAATACTATTTCCATTTGGTTATCCGCTTGAATTTGATTATAGCTAGTTTATGTCTGGTTCATGCACGACTTAACATAACCAAATTTAAGGATCAGCTGTTTATACACCAGTGTCCTCCACATGTTACGCCGCCAGAAGGTAACTAGCTAGTGATTTCCAGTGGTGGTCAAACGTTTTGGTGACGTCACAGCCATTTTTGACATGATTCGGGTGGTTTCGGGACTCGTCTTACCCTGGGATAGCCCTTTCCATACTGTTCTATGCTCGTATTGACGTAATTATAATAATACTGTGGTGTCTCGTGTTCCACGACGATTTACAGCAATTTACAGAGAAAGCCAGGCGGTGACTCATCTGTTGTTTTTGTTTGAGGTGTTGACGAATTTGCGGTAGAGATTTGTTTTGGTGTTTGTCTTTGGGTGTGTTTTTCTGCCTTGGACTTGTTTTTTGTGCAATTAATTGAGGATGGCCATGCCTAGAGCAAAAAAAACGAAAAGTCGCGCTGGTATCAACTCCTGACCTTGGTGAAGAGGTACCTGCAGAAGGCACCTGAACGCAATCGGACATCGCCAGAGGAGCGCCTAATGATGACGTTGCAGTAAGTATCCAAATCAGTTCATTTTTGCATAAATGATTAAATATATTGAGGTTATGGTCGTTTTCTTAATTCAAGGTCAATTCTTAAAAGTTCAATGGTTCAATATACTGAACTTTATCTTAAGAACCAACCAATCGGATCAGTAGCGTTGGTCAGCTGATCGCTACAGCTGGAATTAGAAGATGGGTACGAGCCATCGATTCTGTACAAAAGTCGATAGTCGATATTTATATCGTGATGTTTGATCGATTTTATATCGCTGTATGGGCAGATGGTTTGGTAATAGTTGTACGAAAAATTATTTGCGCTTGCTTACGCATGACAGTTTAGAGTTGAATATCGGGGCGGATTGATAAAAAAAATCAGAGATGTATGTTAAAAATTATAATAAATAAAGTCGGTGGTCATGTTTACTTCATCCCGTAACAAAGTGAGTATAGTGGTAATTTCAGCAAAACATTGCTACAGCATAAAGTAGATAAAAAAACAGCATGGAAAAAATGAACATGGGTCCTAAATTGCCCCTTACCAAGATAGAGGATTTTGAAATTATATTCCAGAGAACAAAAAAAAATGGAAATGATCTTAAAATATTGTGCTTGTAGTACTGACTTCATAGCTGATAGATGCAAACACTTTCATGTCTGAGACTGTACCAGTGGTGATGTTGGCAAATTATAGGCACAACTGAAGAAAAAGGATCTAAATCTATACCATGCCCCCATGACATGTTTTTCCAAAACCTCACAGAACACTGAAGGTACTTTGTCAATAACTACGAACCACGTGTACGCCTGGCAAATGCTGTGTATTCGCAGCCCACCAAATATGTAATCCCTTTTGATGTTTATTGAGGTAAACAGATGGGTAGCACGTAACTTCTTTTTATGACATCTGTACTGTTTGTAATAACAAATCTGGTAAAGTGCAAAATTAAGGACTGGTGTTCGGTATTACCAATGAAAATTTGTTTACACACAGAATTTGGCAATCAAATGTATATTGCTAGATTGGGAATTTATACATATGTATGTACAGAGCAGTATCATCTGAAGGGGTATGGTGAGATGACTATGTTTCTGTTTAGTGTTTGCTGACCAAATATGACAGTGATATTATGCTAATATTTTTTTTTTGTTTCACAGTGTCTACATCCTTCGAGGAGACAGTTGGAATGAAGATCTTCATTTATTTTTATGGATACCAAATGAATTGCCAATGACATCAGGAGTTTTTTTCCTAGTTTGAAGAAACAATTAGTGTTTTATGTTTTTTTTTGTTGAGGACAATTTTGTTTGCCTTCACCCATTAACAGTGTGTGCAAAATTGTTTTTGATTCACATATCAGAGAGATTATATTTGTATTCCAGTCAGTCCTCTAACTACAGATGTATTTTTTGTTATTTGAGTATTTATGTTTTCGCAATAAATATACATGATCAATTAACAATAGATAGTGCTTGCATGATATTGCACTGATCAGGTTCATAATATACAGAAAGATCCAGATGGGTAGAATAATTCTATGTATGTACAAAAATGAGCCATCCAACTTGCACATACCTCTTGCATCTTCTGGCCTCCAAAAATACCGAATTGCAACGTTGTATTAGCACCCAAGACCGTCTAAAAAGCATGATTGATACTGGAAATTAATGTCCGAGCAATAAATTATAGATAAAAGGTACCGCATTCTATAGAGGCGCGTGGCTTGGTTGTCTCCAGTGGCGGTAGGCTATATTGCTGTTGATCAGGTGTAGGCTTAATTAAATTCCCAATATGGTATGATTTTCAAAGCAGATTACATCCTTAGTTGTAATATATCCCCAGGCTTGTGAAAAGCAAAATTTTTCTTTCAAATTTCAATATTCAGGGAGAAGCAGGTTGTTTGATTAACTCTGATATGGTAGGTTGGATGTTTGGTATTGAATAGACATGCCGTAAGTGCTAGGCTACCAAACATAGTTACGTTTGGAAACTGAACATTCTCATCTAAAATATCAATATGAAAAACGTTTAGTTTACGAAATTAGCGCTGGCTATTTATCCTCCTTGCAACTAATTTCATTAGTTCTGAAAAGTATTTCACCAGTATGTAGTTTAACCACTTTCTGTGTCTATACAAAACTGCATTCTGGTCTACATGCTTCTTACTTTGTAGACATACTGGTAGGTTCAGCCCCTTTAGGCAGAAACCAAATATATAGAATTTTTGCTTTTCCAGAAATCCTCCCATTGCTAATACAAACAATTATATTAGTTATGATTTGTTAATTTTATTCATCTGTGACTTGCTTGTTTAATCCGATGACGGAAATTTGAAATGTGGCCATAAAAATGATTTGTAGGAGCCACTGTTGTGGTCGATTTCGCGATATTAATTGTTTCCTGTAGATTGAGATATTGCTCAACCAGTGGTATTATCCAGGAAAAGATCTGGGGGGAGGCTCAAGATCCAGGGTGACACGAAAATTCCGTCTCGGGGGGGGGGGGGAAGGGTGTCTTGGAGATATAAAACTGCATAGCAGAGGGGGGGGGGACTCGCTTAGTCTAGGTAGCTACACTTCACAGAAGGTATAACATGTATAATATGTAGAACAAGCGTAATGAGCTGTTGCGCTTTGAGAGGGTAGACTCCGAGGAGCACCAAAGCCCTCCCATGAATACGCCGCTGTGCCCATACCAGAATAGGAACAGAGGGCCTAGCTCAAAGAGTTCCGCGCTTCTTTCTAATATCATTGGGATTACACCCAGCCAACGGCGGCGACGAAGTAAATAAGAAATGAACAAGTCCTTATTGATTCAATTTACAAATTAATGCATTAATCAAAGAAACTATCATGTTTTTAGTCATAAAATATTACCAGACATTTGAGAAACAAAATAGTATTTTAAATTTCAATAGGTATTAAGAGTAATCCATGTAATTTTTTCTTATGAACGTGGAAGTGGAACAACCAGCGGGTACGCTTATGCAGTCGGCGGCGCGGCACCTCAAAGACAAAAGCTGTATTTTGTGTTTTTGGCTCACAAAGAGATTGACAGTAGCTAGAAAAACAAGTCGTATTTTCTATTTGACTCTTAGGTTTCGTGGATTTAGCATTTGGAAGGCTGGCTATTATTACCTCCAATCGCATCCTAAGAAAAAAATTCGGCCTGATTTTTTGTTCATTTTCCTGTTGTGCTTTTTGTCACTGCAAGCAAACTGTAGCTAAACTGTTTTCACAAAGCTTTTTGAAAAACTTAGTCAGACTTCGCTTTGAAATGATATTCTCAACTTGGAGGAATAGGACGGAGGTTTTTTTCATTGTACTCGTATAGTAAAGAAACATTTTCACTGTATACAGGAAATCTATTTTGAATAACAATATGTCATTTTTTCAGACTGCTACGTGGCCCGTATTAGATTTTTT